GGAAATTAGGGAGGACTCACAGAGCTTTGTGATAATGGGAAATTTGAAGCACTAGGTTCAAATCCTGCCTCTTCTTCAGCACTCCAGCAGCATTGCTGGTACTGCCTGTACCCCAGTTTCAACACTGATAAAAATGGGGTAACAGTGACCACTTTCTGGTTAGCCGGTTAGCCTTAGTGAGATTCCCAGGGGTCAAATGATATCCTCTGAACAGAGGCCTCCCCAAGGGGAAGTGACTGAGGAAGAAGGGAAATAACACAGTGGGGTTAGAGGAACATCCCAATTGTGATAGAATGTACAGCGAGGTGCTCGTGTGTGCAGCTGGGCCTCCCTGCTGCTCAGTGTCCCCTTATAGTAAGCACTGTAGGGGTAGTGTAACTGGACATTTCTCTCCCACCCTCCTAAATAACCTAAATAACCTCTCAGAGGCTTAATATTAATTATAATTGTTTGGCCGATGGCTCAGGCTTATTATTGGCTAGCTCTTACATTTAAATTAATCCATTTCTATTAATCTATGTATCACCACATGGCCATGGTGTTACCTCATTTTCTACATGTCTTGCTTTCTTGGTGGCTGCTGGCATTTCCCCAACTCTGCCCTTCTCCTCCCTGTTTCTCTGCTTGGATTTCCCACCTGGCTCTATTCTGCCTGGCTGTTGGCCAAATGAGCTTCTTTATTAACCAATGGTGATAAAACATTTCCATAGCATACAGAAAGACATCCCATATCAAGGTAGTCACCCACAGCTCAGATGTTTTGTTTCTTCTGTGTGATGGGCACAGCACAGATATTTATTGTTTACACTACTACATGGTACAACTCTCTCTTTCTTTGGGTGCATGGTTTTTTTGTTGTAACATGTCACGGATATGTCTAGTCACAGCCATCAGGGTCCATCACAAATAGCTGTCTGTCCTTTTATCATTGATCCCTGGGTGGACAGCACATTTCACATGCTATCTACTGCAGCAGCATCGGGCAGTTCCTCTTCTAAAACTCATCTCAGTTATGTGGTCCTCTTCCAGACTGTTAACATCAGAACTTGGGAACACTAACATTCTTGTTCTCAGCTCTTGGCTGAGTGTCCAGTGCAGAACCTGACACACTGGAGACAAGACTGTGTGGCATGTCTCAAATCCTTGCTATCCATGCTTCAGCTTGCCCTTTCCCTTTCTTTATCCTTTGCTTTATGTAAGGAGATGGGTGCTGAGATGAATTAAGAATTAAACCACTGGCTGGGCATGGTGGCTACCAGCTGTGAGTGTTGGGAAAACAGTAATGCTCTTAACCACTGAGCCATCCTTCTAGCCCAAGATTATGTTTTTTTAAATGCAATGAGTTAATAAACAAATAGGGCTGGCAAGATAGCTCAGCAAGTATAAGTGCTTGCCATTCAAGCCTGACAGCATTAGGTCCATCTCCTTAAAAGGCCAGATGTAGTGGTGCACATCTGTCATCCCAGTACCTTGTGGCAAGGTGGGAAAAAAATCACTCGGAAGTTCACAGGCCAACACACACACACACACACACACACACACACACACACACAAGTAAAAACTCTTTTAAAAAGTGAAAGTACATAGGGGGATTAATTATGTCAAGGTGATTCTAAAAAGATAGCTATTTATGAAATGACATTGTTATTTATGCCTTTCATTAATGTAGAAAAAATGAGAATTTGGGTGTGGACTTGGTTACATCTGTAACTTCAAAGCAGCATTAAGGTATTTGGAATGGCAGTGTTATTGGACAAGAGGAGAAGGTTCTCCTGAGACCATCATTGCCCTAACAGGAAATTCTAAACTTGGAAGGTTTGTGAAAATAGAGACTCATGGACTCTTTGAATTCTATTCACTAATGCTCTAAATTGAGAATCAAGAAGCCTGGCCTGGGTTCAGCTTGTCACAGGTTACTGCCTACTTAACATTCTTTTTGGTGCCCACATCTGACTTACTTTGCATTTTTCTTTCCCTGTTTTACCTGCCTTAGGTTCCAGAATGCTATATAAACACATTGCCCTTTTTTTCTCCTATGGCCAAAGCTCTTGTCACAGACGCTTACAGGCATGGCTACCCAAATACCATGTAACCCACCTAACCAGAAGCCCAAAGGCAGAATGGTACAGCGTTTGTGGCTTCCCTAGCAAGGCTGCCAGGGCCCAAGCTGTTCTGACTTCTTGCCCCATCATCCTGGGCCTATAGATTTCAGCCTTGTTTGTTTGTTTGTTGTTTGCAAGGGGCTGACTCTGCTTCTGGGAACTGGTCCTGGAACTCAAGCAGGAAGTGGGAAGAACAGGGGAGGGAGAAATATGGCCACTTGCCGAAAGACAGTTTGGGAGCTGATGAGTAAAGAACCCCAGTAAGGAGAAGGTAGAGGAGATACTGGGTGAGCAGTCTTCCAGACTCCCTAAGTGCTGACCACTTGGTATTCCCTGCGCCCAGGCTGGCAGGCCTCGTTACCTCTAAGTCCTCATCATGTGCGTTCTCTTTAAAGCCAAGGTTTTCCCCACTTTCTCCAGCCACACTGAACTGTTTGGGCACTCTAGAACAAGGAGATTCAGCTGAGACGCAGAGGTCCTCTAGGGTGGAGAACTAAGGTGTAAATGATTCACCAAGATAGCGTTGTGATAGTAGTGACAGCAGCTGCCTCTGTGTGTGTACTTTGTACATTGTACATAGTTGTCACTCAACATACATTGCTTATAGTCCCTTAACTCCTCCCCCATAAGGTGAATATCAACTTCAATTCATATCAGGAAAGCACAGCAATAAGATACACACTTTTGACTGCCAGGTCATTGCCTGACCTGGCCTTGGCTGAACCAGGTAGTCCCCCACCCAGATAATGTGTGTGGAAATGTGTAAGCATCCAAAACTCTAACCCCTAAGGCACTTTCCTTTCCACTTCCCCCGATTCTGAGTTTGATTTCCAGCTATACTTCTGCTTTCCGGTGCTTTAAGATGTTTGTGTTTCTGTCTGGATTTGATTGAGTTCTTTTGGGGGGCACAAACTCCTAGCAGGAACCACCACCTTCAAACTCTTCTCTTAGTCTTTCACAATATAGCTAGAGTGACACCATCTCCATGAATGGCCTTTTGTGACTCTTGGGCTGAAGGCCCAAACACTCTGAGTAAACGGTAAGGACTGGGTGGCCTTGCTGCCATTCCGTGCAGTCACACAGCTCTCCCTCCCTTCCCTTCTCACTGAGTCACATGACTGTGGTATGGTTTCCTCTCGCTTGTGTGCTTTCCTGCCACTGGGTCTCTGCACCTGTCGTTGACATTGTCTAGGGTTGTGTCCCCTCCCTTTTTTATACACAGACTTCTCTGAAGCTGTCAGACGTAGCCTCACAGCCCCCAAGAACCTCTTCCTGTAGCCCTGGCCTCCTGTTGATTCAAGTGATTTCATGCCGGATTTATTAAAATACCTTTTTTGCTTTTGTTTTTTTCAAGATGGGGTTTCTCTGCCTAACAGCCCTGGCTGTCCTGCTGTCCTGGAACTTGCTCTATTGACCAAGTTGGCCTTGTGTTCTCAGAGATGCACCTGCCTCTGCCTCTCCATTGTTGGGATAAAAGGCATGTGCCATCATGCCCAGCATGCCTGAAACACTTTATGACCAATTTTTTATTACTACTGTCTACTAGTGCCTGTTGTATACATCTTACACTTGCGTATTCTAGGTTTGTTTGAAGACACGGTCATTCATCTTAGCATTCCAAGTGCTAGGGTTACAGGTGTCTGCCACAGTTCTGGGGATTTGAACACAGATCTTTCATGCTTACACAACAAACACTTTAACCCAGCAAGCCATCTTCCCCAGCCCTCACATAAAAGCTGGGTGTGGCCTCATGTGCCTACGACCCCAGTGATGGAGACAAGGAGATAGGGCCTTCTGCTCAGTTAGACTAGCTAAAATGTCAGCTCTGGGTCCCTGCCATCTTCAGGCACAGTGAGAGACTCTGTCTCCAAAACTACAGTTGATAGAGCTGCAGAGATGCTCAGCAGTTATGATTTCATACCACTCTAGCAGAGAACCCCAGTTTTGCTCCCCAAACCCAATTAGGCACCTAACATCTACTTCTAAGTCCAGCTCTCAGAGGAGCTGGTGCTGCTGACATTTGCACACCCACAGTCACATACACAACAGACACACAGTGTGAATGATTAAAAATCAATGCCTTGAAACAATGAAGATGGACACCAATAGAAGAGACACTGTGTCAGTCTCTGGCCTCGACATGTAGTACCATGTGTAAGTTCACTCATACCCACATACACACACACACACACACACACACACACACACAGAGAGAGAGAGAGAGAGAGAAGCAGCCCCTGGTGTGAACTTCATGATAGAGGAAGGAATACAGGCTGCACATAGATGACGTCAGTCAGTTGGCAAACTAAGGGAGGGGGCATAGGGAAGGCAGATTGTTCCTGGTTGAATATTGTGTGGACTGGGCTAGGCTTCCGGGTTAGCGGAGGAGCATGTTTTAAGAACTTAGGATGTAAAACAAGGACAAAGAGACAGTTGTCTCAGGGTAAGGACACTGATGGAGCAAAATGGTTCTACTCACTCTGTTAGGAAAAGGCTTTCTCTGGACTCCAAGGCCAAAAGCAAACCTAGTCTGGGATTGCAACTTCTGGGAGGTGACAGGATAACTGTTAAAGCCCAACTCCTTCTATAGGCTCCACCTTTCATATGGAACTTTATCGCAAATCATAGACGCCCAATTGGAGCTACATCCTTTCCTCCAAGGGGTGACCTAGTTAGTGGTTCATGATTAGACCTCCTGCCCTAGGTGGGGAGGCTGGGACCACTTCATCCCATAGGTGTTGGTAATATCACTGGCTAATGTGAGGGCCCTTCTCTGTGCTCTTTCACCTTATTTGAGTCCATTGTTTTCAGACCAAAGATAGACAACTGGATTGTGCGCTGCCCGGCCGAGGCTACTACCCAGGTTCTCACTTCTCCCCTGTTGCCCTTTCTCCCCAGGAATCCGAGGGCATCTCCTGCCACTACTGGTCTCTGTTTGACGGCCATGCAGGCTCGGGGGCCGCCGTGGTGGCATCGCGCCTGCTACAGCACCACATCACACAGCAGCTGCAGGATATCGTGGAGATCCTGAAGAACTCGGCCATCCTTCCCCCAACCTGCCTAGGGGAGGAGCCGGAGAGCACGCCTGCCCATGGCAGGACTCTAACCCGCGCAGCCTCACTGCGTGGAGGTGTGGGAGCCCCCGGCTCGCCCAGTACACCACCCACGCGCTTCTTCACCGAAAAGAAGATCCCACATGAGTGTCTGGTCATTGGGGCCCTGGAGAGTGCCTTCAAGGAAATGGTATGTACCCCGGACGACTGGAGTAGCTCTGTCCAAAGCTGTCTTGCTAGGGAAGTGTCCGTGAAGTGCATGTGGCCTTCCTGCCTTCTCCCATGTGCTCATCTCTCTTTTACAACAAGGCTTATTAAAAAGTCACAGCAAGAGACAGTTTCTGGAGTGATTGCCAGCAGGTATTAAGACCAGGAGAGAGGGCAAGCACAGGAATGCCTTCTGGTTATTAAATGTATGCCTTATCCTTTCTATTCAAAAGACTCCTATTGACACCAGCTGATACCGTTCAAGTTAATTGGAATGTGAGCGTGGCTGCCATTTGTTTTACATATGTACTAAGTCCAGGTGTTTAGGAAAACCATGTTTAGTAAAGCACTCGGAAGTACTCTTCCTTTAAAAATGGGTGCAGACTGGTGTGGTATACACTTGGAGGCAGAGGCAGATGGATGTCAATGGGTTTGAAGCCAGCCTGGTTTATGTATTGAGTTCCAGGCCAGCCAAGACTACACAATTAGTCGGGGTGCTGGTGGCCCACGCCTTTAATCCCAGCACTTGAAGGCAGTGGCAGGCGGATCTCTGAGTTTGAAGTCAGCCTTGTCTACAGAGAGTTGCAAGACAGGCTCCAGAGCTACACAGAGAAACCCTGTCTGGAAAAACAAACCAAAACAAAAAAAGGAGGGGGGGTGGCTAGCCGTGTAATTCATTCTGTTCAACCGGTAGTGCCTGGAGAACTACTGAAGGGAGGGAAGAGGGCCACATTGCTTTTGATTATCCGGGGCCTGGATTCCTTTACACTTTGCTGTCTGAGTGGGTTTGGTCAAAGAATTTAGCATCCTGTATGTTGCCCTGGATCCTGAGCATGTACCCTGGCAGAGAGACATTTGCTGTGCCCCTGCCTTGCTGTCACTCTGCCTGGCCAGGTGGCCATGGATACTGTATCCCATGTGACCTTCTTCTAGCTCTGACTTCACTTTTACTTGAGCAAGTGTTGTGGCTCCAAAGGTTTTCTTCCTGTACGCAGTAGCCTGTGTACAGATAGAGAGCATGGATTACTTAAAGGTGTTTGGAAGGACTTGGGGGAGGCCAGAAGGCAGTGTTTTTAAAACTTGAAGATTAGAATACGATGGTGGCAAGCCATTCAGTGACGCCTGGACAGCTGAAAACACCTCATCTGAAGTGAGCACCCACTTTACATCGTCCAGGCCCTTAAGACTTTACTCTACATGCCCTAGTCAGAGGAGAAAAGTGAACATAGTTCCTGATTTGTTTCTAAGGAACCAAGTTCATATATTAATACCTCAAATTTATCTGTTACTCCAGCTCACCCCTTCTTGGTGTCTTTTCATCTCTTTGATTAGTGGGGAGATTAAAATGCACCTCCTCTGTAAGAGATGATTTAGAGGGAAAACCAGGAGTAGATTTAGAAAAGTTGACTCCTACAGAGAGTTGGTACAAGACTGTCCCTCTGGTTGGTGTAGATGCTCTGGTTGGTGACTACAACTAGACACCAGTGGTGCACAGAACTCTGATCATTTAACAGAGGTGACAGCTCGACAGTGACCTCTCCCTCCAATGAGAGAAAAGATCAGAAAATGGGGACAGGGACTGAGGGCATTGGGATTTTCATTTCCATCAGTGGTTGCTGGGACACCTTTTGCCTGGAATTGTTGCATTCTCAATTCCGCCCACTAGACGGCAGTGTCACATCAATGATGGCCTCCCCAGCAACAGCAGCCCTCGAAATGTGCAGCTTATTCAGATACCTAAGAAAAGGAGGTCCAAGGTTTGTATTTTCACCACTAAGCAGTTCACTGCCTGAAATTTCTTGTGAAAACAGCTGTGCGTGTGTATGCACACTCCTGTGTGTGTGTGTGTGTGTGTGTGTGTGTGTGTGTGTGTGTAAAAGGTTTCTCACTTTTATGCAGTCCATTCAGTCAATAAATATTTGCTGAGAAACAAGTCTTTGTCAGGCTTGAATGGGAGTAGAACATAGAATAAAAATAGAAAAAGTCAGGTATCCAACAAGTGAAATGCAAATGGTACGTGTACACACACACACACACACACACACACACACACACACACACAGTGGGGGAGTCGGAAGAGTTAGGTTTGAGCTAGAACTCATGAGTCAGGCCGAACTGTGTTCCAAGGGGGAAGTTCTGGAAGCTCTGAGACACTGAGACATGCAGGAGCTCCTGGGAATGAACGGTAAGTGCATTATCTAATTAGGGGGACAGTTATTCCTCCCATCACCTTAGCATGTGAGATGGATATCCTGAGGTTTGTCTCATGGCCAGATGATTGACAGGCCAAGCTGGATTTGCTCCTAAGGGAGTAGACAGTAGTATGCAATGTTCTGTCTTTGGAGCAGATCAGACAAGAGCCCTCAGGGGGCCTAAGGAAGTGCAGTTGTATTGTCTCCCTTTCTACTGTTCCCCAGGGAGAAAGAAGATGGTGCCCATTCCACAGTGTCTTTAAAGGCTATTAATTCCTGTAGCAACATGCCATACATATCTCAGTTATTTTGATATTCTAAATAATGTCAAAGGAAGTAACACATTGATGGCAGAAGTCCAACATATATTTGGAAATCCCAAGTTGGGACAAGGAGCACCTGTCTCTAGAGTACATGGATCATTTTCACAAAATGTAGACTGATGTCGGGGAAAAGGCAAGATTTGAACAAGAGGCGGTAAAGGTAATTCTAGCAGATGCTCTATGATCCTCTGAGACTGTCTCTTTTTGTCTTTGAGGCTTGGGTTGCCTGCACAGTGTAAGATGTGTAGGGAAGGTGACCCCTGACCACTGGGATGTAATGCAATCAAGGACAGGGTTAGCCCTACAACTCCTTTGTTGTATCACATCTTGCATATGACTTCCCACTGGGAAGGCTATGGAGCCAATCCCTCCTGTTTCCACTGTGGAAAACAAACTGTGGTCTCCTAAAGGAAAATCTCACAAATGCAGCCACTCACTGCTTGGGATGAGTGTCAGAACTCTCAGCCTAAAAATGATGCCAGGACCCTCAAATAATAGCCTAACTGTCACCTCCTGCAAAATTCTTCCCTGCTTCTGGTAGTCAGTTTTTTGGGAGATTTTCTGTCTCAAAGCAAAATTTGAGGAGGTTTTTGTTTGTTTGTTTGAGATACTAAACACAACTTCCTTATATCCAATGCTATGGATTCAAGTCCACTTGCCTACAGTGATTTTTTTTAACAGTGCTTGGCTAAGCAGCAAGGTTGTTTCCTGACCTAATATGACATGTGTGAATGAGATAAATGCTCTGAATTCTAGTTTTAATCCCCCTACCCTCAAAAAAAGAATGTTTGGATTAAACAGGCAACACTTCAGACTCATAGGAAGTCAGTTCCATGACTGAGTTAGCTGTCAAAGAGTCAAAACCAAGTCAGCACTGATGAATTGGTTTTCAGCTTATCATCTACAAGATTGAACTCAGGACGAACTAAGAGAATCTCAAAGTCCTCACCTACTTCCTCTCAGTATCAGTAGGTAGCTAGCTGGACAGGTGTTGTTGGGCTTGGAGACCATTGATGGACCCCTCCCTCATGGCTGATTTGGACCTCACCTGCATTTCTCTGGTAACTCTGGAAAGGGAAAAATTAAGATTGCCCCGTAGTGTTTTAACTTAACACATAAAAAGATGCAGGGTTTTGTTGAGGCCCCTGCAACTCCTTCCTTTCAGCCTAAAGAATGGAATGCACCTCTGACCCTTCGTGAGACTTGACGTTCTCATCTACTCAAAATATTATTAGAACTTCACATCCATTGTCTCCTTCCCAAAGGTTTAACCCAACTAGAGACGTGATTCCCCTAGGACATGGTAAGACTATGGGAGAATTGATTGATTGGACAATTAATTAAATGATGTACTGAAGGAAAGCCCTTCCCTCTTTCATTTCCTTCTTCCTCCTCAAGCCTAGGTATACGTCCCTGACACTCAGGGCCTCCTTACCCTTCTCTCTGGTCCTTCTCCCATTCACCCATGCAGCTGTTTGCCAGCTTTCATTGCTGAACATGCCAACCGTGGACCCTCACTCAAAGAGGCGTGGGTTTCTCTCTTTCCTCTTCCTTGTCTGCCAAGATTTACAGCTTGCCTGCTCTGTTGTTTTTCTCTCAGAGCCTAAAAACAAATTGCCCTGGAGTCTCCTTCTTCTGAATGTGTTTCTAAATTCTTTTATTGAGACTAAGAACCAAAAAGGGAACCCCAATTTTCCCAGTAGCAGTGTGCATATAAGCTCTTTGCTACAGTGTTTTGTAAGTGAGAGAATAGCGTTTAGATTTTGAGGTTTATTTTTATTGTATGTGTATGGGTGTTTTGTCTTCATGGGTGTTTGTGTACCGCATGTGTGCAGCTTCCAAAAGGGTGTTTAATGCCCCTTGGAACTGGAGTTACAGATGGTTGAAACCCACTGTGTGGGTACTGGGAATTGAACCTGGTCCTCTAAGTGCTCTTAACCACTGAGTCATCTCTCCAGCTCCGAAATTGGCAATATTTTAACTTGTAAAACTACTCTACATCTTCTACTACTGGCAAATGATCAGGGGGGAAGCATATAATGACATTATAAAAGCATGAGAATGAATGCTAAGGTTATAACTAATTTATGAGTTCTAGAATTTCAATTAGCTTATTCATGGTAGGTTTATAACCTAAGCTGCTTTGTTGAAGCTTGGTTTTGTTTAGTCTTTGTTTTTATTGCAACAGGAAGTGCTTTTAGGAAGGGATGGGCCTGGAATTGCACAGCAGTCAGCAGATGGCGATATTGGACAGTACTGGTTTTTGATTTTTGTTTTTCCTCCCTTTTGAAACTCATTGCCTAGCTGGCAGATGGCCTTGTTCTCAGAATAAACCAGGATGAGACCCGGATACTAAAACCATGCAGAATCTTATTATTTGTGACTGACACTCTTAGCAGTATGCTCAGAACTATATTATAACCCAGCCAGGGGGAGCTGCCAGGTATATTAAAACTGCCCAGCATGCTGGCTCTCTCTCCTCTACTGACCAATTGTGCCTTCTTTTCACAACCTGGAATTGATGAGCAATAAAGACTAAGCCTGGAGTTTCATCATCTCTGATACTTTCAAATCAAATGACAACCATTCTGGATAATATTTTCTTTTCCTTGAAATTCTTTCCTGTCAAGTGAGTCTCATTTTATATACATCTTCTGTGTTCCCACGCCTTGTAACAACAACAACCAAAAAAAAAAAAAAAAAAAAAACAAAAAAAAAACCTAGTATCCTAAGAATTGGCTCTTTGATTCAGAGATGAGCCTCGCCCAAGTGTGCTGTGTAAGCAGATGCAACACAGAATAATTCAGCTTCCCTTGGTAGGATGTTGCCTTTGAGGAGGCATCAGGGCACTGGATTGAGCAGGCCAGGCAGGGAGTCACTGCCACGGTCCATCCACAATTAGACCACGCTCAGAAGGAGTGATAGTATGTAAATGCTGTACTAGTAAGTTATTCTAGATGTATGTCTTGGAGTCCACTGACAGCTAAAATGGAGAGAGAGTCCTTGTGCTCTTGCTTTGCACCCAGCAGTAGACAGCTTTCCTCATGATCACATGGACTTGTGGGAAGGAAAAAAAAAACAAAACTAAACTAAAACTCAAGGACTAAAAAAAATAGCTTAACAATGTGATATATATATATATATATAAAGTTTAAAGGGCTTAGGGTAATTTGAAAGATTGAGGATTTTGAAGGTGAAAGGCAGTTAATTCCATGGTAAATGTATCTTTATTGACTGCTTTTATCATATTTAATCTCATAGTAAAAGAGCCACCCAGATGGTCCTTTAATGTCCCTTTCAGTATGAGATTTTCTGAATCTTTTAGGGAGAGTAGGTGGTGTGTATAGCAAAAAATAAATGTGCTATTTTGGATTCTGGGGAGGAGGGGAACGGAGCAATTATTTTTAGAGTCTGTTCTAGTTGTGCACAGTTTTAGAAGAAATAGAAGAGCGTGTGCTCATGTCAGTGAATTCTTCAGGGGGATGAATCCTGCAGAAATGTGCCTTTCAAATCCCACTGATTGTGCTGGCGGAGAGGACACATTTGTAATTCCTGCTTTTCTGCATGTGTATTCCCTCACAGGCGTGGGGGATGGGCTGGTCAGAGCAGGGTTTCATAAATTTGTGTGTGTGTGTAAGAGAGAGCGTGTGTACCATGCTGTTAATTTATATCAAGGTCCGAGCTGAATAAACTAACCCAGAATATCCGCAGAATTAAAAGTAAATATGAGCTCTGCTGCTATAACAGAGCATCTTGTTGTTGAATGTTGTCTTGATCCCCTCCTCCAAGGATTAAATAATTTTAAAACCAGACATTCTTACATTGGAAACCATAATAAATAATGCCCACACCCACGATCCAGAATAAATTTATTCACCTCTATCCCTAGGAAATTCTTTGCCATGACCAGCCCTTTAACACAGACTCTTTGTACTATAGGGGTCCATCCTCATCCCTCCCCTCTGCCTCTTTTGGATTGCACTAATAAGTCACTTAGGCCTGTTAAACACCATTCACATTCCAGTCCACATGCAGCTAGCAAACTTTTGGATGCTTAAGGAATTTTTAATAAATAGTGCCTTTCATTCAGACTTACATATTCAAACAAATATGGATGGCAGCTATGAAGGGATAGTTTCCATAGCTAGAGTACTTTTCAATATATTAAAAACAGTAACGTTGGATGTGGATTTGGATATACCAGTTTATATATTATATACCATTTATTATATATTAAATGGGCATATACCTATTATATCTAAAATGTACCTATATTTTAGGTTTTTGTGGCAAAAAAAATTAACAAATTTACCCATCAAAGGATTCTTTCTGTTCTAGAAATGAAACAGAAAAGCCAGGGTTTCCTGATGCTTTCTCTCTCTTCTCTCCCTTGAGCGACCCCCCCCCCCCCCCCCCCCCCGCTTGAGCTTCCTGACATCAGTGCACAGGATGTCATAAGCCTTTGCTCTCGTCCACTGGCAGCCAGCTTCAGCAAGGGTTCTGGCTACATTGGTGTCTCAGTGCGAATCTCCCTGGTAAACGCAGTGTTTGTGAATAGTAGCTTCCACTTCCCCTGTCTTTGGTAAAGTGGTGAGAAGATGTTCGGAAATGCAGACTTTTTTTAAAGTATATTTCTTCAGTTGTCCGTTTAACAGAGACTGAACTAAACCAATGTTGACCTGGCCCGAAAGGGACAGGAATGGTCATTGCTCTCAACTGTGAACTTTCCACACTGGGTGTCAAGGGGAATCCTGTGGCTGTGGTTAAACTCCGCCCCCACCACACCTAATATAATCCTCTTAAGAAAATGGTTTATACAACATTTAAGTAAGTGTTAAAATGCAGTATAGTACTCAGAACCGCCCTCATGCTTGCCCCTCTGCAGCCTTTGAAACTAGTCACTCCCACAGAGACTCCTCAATTCTCTTAAACTCCCCCCACATACACACACCCTTCACTCCTTACCATGGCCCCCAGGTCCTTGCCTATCTCATCTCCTGTACATTGGTTTCTCCATCCTGTCTTAGCATGCTTTTTTTTGGGGGGGTGGTTTCCTACTACTATTTTTTTTAATACAGGGTCTTGTCAGCCTGGAACTCATAGCCTTTCTGTGTTATGCTCCACATGCAAGCATTGCGGGCCTGTTCATCCAAATCCATCTTCTGCCCTCTCTCCAAGCAGTTGCCGCTCCAATCTGTGCCCTCAGCTTGGGAAACTCTTGGCGTTTGCTCTCTCGCCATCCCTGACACCTGGAGGATAGCCATTGTGGTCCAGTCCAGTTCGCTGAAGCAGCTAACTGCAACTCCAGGTTCTGAGAATCCCAGAAGTACCTCGAACCCTTGAGAACAGCCAGGGCACCACTTCTCCCTCTTGCGACTTTTACCCCACACACCCTGTCTCTCACTCAGGCTCAGCAGTAGATAGCTTCCAATGTAGAAAGAACACTTCACTCACTCCCGTTTTTCCCGAAGACATAGAGCACTCAGCTCTTTCAGTAACCCTGAATTTTCTCGTGTTGTCTATCAACAGAAATGCTAGTCTGATTTTAATTTTTCTGAGGGTGCCTCATTACACGGCAAGTGATACAGGGTTTGGAAAGAGAACCAGTATTAGATAGCGCGTACTCTCTATCCAGGTAAATGTGGGCAGTGGCCCCAATTCTCTGCATGTGAACACTGTAGTTAATGAAGCTCCTGAGGCCATAATGAAGATTGCATATGCGCCATGCGAGGCACTTAGCTCTATGCCTGATGTAGGGAAGGTGTCTGCCGGCTGCTGCAACGTTGGGAATACTGTGAACTGTGGCTATGGAGGAGGAAGCTGTGTTCAGATGCATCTGTGTTGAATGGCAGACAGTTCATTCTTTAAGATGGGCTATAAAGAACTACTTACTCGAGGCTTTTCGTTAAAAACATAGTTTAGTTTATGTCCAGGTACTTGGCATTCCTAGCCTTATTCTGTGTCCCACATGACCACTCAAGCAACCCACGCACAGACTAGATTTCCCATAAGCTGTGGTTTCTGTTAACTGGGATTTACAGTTTCCTCTTCCCATATTTGCCTGGTGTGTCTGTGTGTGGCCCTTTGGTTCCACTCTCTGTTCTGAAGTGGTCTGGTATTTTGTGTCATGTCCTTCAGAGAAGCCCATTAGGTCAGTGGTTCTCAACCTATGGGTAGTGCTCCCTCCCCCCAGGGTGGGGAGGTCAAACGAACCTTTCACAGGGGTCACGTATCAGATATTCTGAATATCAGGCATTTACATTATAATTTATAACAACAAAATTACAGTTAGCGAAGAAATAATTTCATGGCTGGGGGTCACCACACATGAGAAACTGTATTAAATGCTCACAGCTTTGGAAGGTTGAAAACCACTGCATTGGTGGTAGGAAAACAGGTTCTGAGGATTGCCTGTCCTTTCTGGAAGCACATGCAGACTTTGGAACTGTATCAAGTGAAGGGAGGAAGGCTTCCTTTAGTCCCAGGTCCTGCATGATTGCACTAACTTTCCTTTCTTCTCCAGGACCTTCAGATAGAACGAGAGAGGAGTGCGTATAATATATCTGGCGGCTGCACGGCCCTCATTGTGGTTTGCCTTTTGGGGAAGCTGTATGTGGCGAACGCTGGGGACAGCAGGTAAGCAAATTAGCTCCCTGGTTCTTCCTAACTTGCATTCTGGTGCTTCTGACAGAGTCTACCTGCTCTTGAAGAATTAAACGATTGGAAAGAAAGTTATTCTGGTTAGGATTACATGTGAAAGGGACGAGCTTCCTGTATCCTAACAGAAAGCATTTGTTTGTTTGGTTGGTGTTTTGAGACAGGGTTTCTCTGTGTGTAGCCCTGATTGTTCTGGAACTTGCTCCGTAGACCAGGCTGGCCTCTAACTCAGAGATCCACCTGCCTCTGCCTCCCATGTGCTGGGATTAAAGGCTAGAAATGCATTTAAGAACAATCAGATTGCTATTGAAGGGTAAAGGGCATGTGACTTGTTCATTGCCACAGCTTGTGTGTGCAGCTAGAGTTCATCTAAAGCCAAGAGCATTCAAGTGGTTTTTTGGCCTTGGCACTGGTTTAGCAAAGTCAGGATATTGGTGAGCAATGAAGGGAGGGGGGACCTGAATGGAGTGAGTGCTTGGAGGGTCCTGTCACATTCCCCTGTTGACTGCAGCTCCCCACAGTATCTTGGCTCTGCCCCCTAGGTGCCCAGAAGCTGCTCTTTGTATATGCATGCCTTTGGGAGGTGTGTGTGTGTGTGTGTGTGTGTGTGTGTGTGTGTGTGTGCCTTTGCCTAGCCTTACCAAAGAAGCAGATATTCTTGTTCTTTAATCACCTTAAATAAATGGCCCTTCTTTCACAATTATGCTTCTTCAGTATCGGTGTGGCTGACTGTGTAACTAACTGAACCTTTCCCTAAAGAATAACAGTTTTGAAAATGACTAAAGTCTGGACTCTAAACATGGAAGGGCTGCTGTCTTGGGATTCTATCATTCCTTTAGGCCCTGGGCCACTGATCTGCACACCTGCCTCTTCAGTCCTTCTCATGTTCCCACCCCACCTCCCAAGACACACACACACACACACACACACACACACACACACACACACACACACACTTTCACTTCCCTGTCACAGGAAGACCCCGTTGCTGGTGCCTCTGTAGTTTGGAAGACTAACCCTCTTAATGCAATGAAGAAATTCACTCTCCTCTTTCTTCCATTTACAAAGAGGAGACCTAGGTGAGCAGTCTCCATTCCTCTTTTCCCAGTAAGGCATCTATTCTTGACCTTTGCCCCTGAGAACATAAAAAACAAAGGAGAAGCTTGTGGGGTTTAAAGATTAGTGCTTTGAAAAGTCCATTTATTTTAAAAGAGTGTGTGGGTTTTCTGTTTGACACACATGCTATCTCAGGTGTCAGTGTGAAATTTTGCCTAGTAAATGGCAGGGTATTTAAGATAGGGTTTATCCCATGGCCCCCTATCCCCTGTGCCCAGTGAGTTTCACCAGCTCGGATGTCCCAGCAATGGATGAAAGAATGCATGGGAACTTACCAGGATTCAGTGGAGTGGCCCCAGGAAGGTGCTAGCCACCTCAGCCTTAAAGGGACAGGGCAGGGAGGAACCACACGTGTGTAAACACTAGGCCAGAGCTACAGGAAGCCTCAAAGAAATGCCCTTTCTCTCTCCCTGTTCTTACCGGGTTTCTCATTGAGCACACCTGGCTCAAGCCAGCAAACAGGTAGCGATGGAGGTCAGCATGCCTGTCCCTTCCCTCCTCCATTGCATACCCAAGAGTTTTCCAGCTTCTGCACAGAAATCAGTGACTTGTAAATGGCCACCGAGGTGCAGATGGCAGATGGCAGATGGTGGCCTCTTGTTCAGTTCTAGATCCTAAGCTTGTTGAGAAATGGTGAGCAGAGACGATGGCTCCTTTCTGGTTTCATAGAGACTGGACACGAGAATCAGCCTCCTGCTCACACTGTCCTCTTGCCTTTACTGCTCATTCCCAGTCTGCTTGAGTTTGCTTCCCTAGTCCTAGGCACTAAGGAAGTGACTGACAGTCCAGGCCACAATCCACCCCCACCCTGCTCTCCTGGGGAGGCATCCCCTTCCAGATGACCTGGGGTTCAGAATTTAACTCCAGCACAGGGTATCCCAGAAACTCTCTGCCCAGTGTTTCTCTTCTGAGCTTTTGCCATTTTACCCTAAGTACCAGTCTCCAGACATTGGTCTCCACATGCATAAATATTTTGGCATTGGGCCAGGTGACATCTAGAACTTATGGCTTGCTAAAGGTTAATCTGGGAGAGTGACACCTTCAGAAAGGAGAGTCATGCTACTTTAGCCAGTCTTAGTGACATTTCTTAGAGCTGTGTGACATCTTTCTTAGAGCCTGCTGTTAAATTTTTAATTTCACTAAGGCCCTGTTTTGCTAAGTGCCAGCAAAAAAATATGTTTTACATTTATTTCTAATTTTAAAAGCCTAATAAATACCCATTTTCTTAATAAAGCTGTGATGCACAGAATAAAAATTACCCTGCAACCCAGGAAGTTTAAATTATATTTGTGGAACTCAGACCCTAGTATCCAAATACAAAGTTGGGGTTTTATAGCTAATTTGTTGGGTTTGGTACCCACATGTGGAACATAATTCATAATGAAGCCTAGAGCAATAGGAACTGGTATTTTATTAAGCCAGCCAAATGATCATTTATGGAGCACATAAGTTGTTACTTGCAGCTCTTTCATGAATGACAGATACCGATATCATCTCAGACCATCATTGCCTACTCTATTTATTAGTGATGTATTGTGAGCATTTTAGTTTAAAAACATTGTTATTCTCAAGAAAGAATTACTGGGAAGTCATCTTCATATCTATGAAACTGTAAGTTATTATTTGTCAACAAGCACTCAGGAATCCAAAGACTCAGGTAAAGGAAAAACAGAATGATTAGAGCTGACAGAAAACTCTGGCAACACAGTCCTGATTAATTAAGTGCTAATTTTTCTATTGTTAGATAATAACTGTCATGTGTTTATACTTTTAAGTCTTGACAGTTTTTAGGGTAAGAATAAATCTTCATTGTGCAGCCACTATCCTGTAATTACTTACAGAGTAACAATGAGAGAAGCTTTGGTTTGACTGAGAAGCTGCCTGTAGTCAAGGGCTGTTTTCGGGGCCACTTATCTGGGCGTCATCTGATTTACCATCAGGCCATGTGTATGCTCTGGTGTTGTCTTCAGGAAATGCTGCTGGTTGTGTCTGTGGTTTACCAGTGTTTGACTCCATAGCCGTCCTCTTTGTACAGTGTCGAGTGACTCATGCACAGAGGCCTGGTCCACAGAGGAGACTGACTTCCCTTTTCTTGTTAGCTGAGCTCACTAGCCGACTAGAGACATGCAGCCACTGCATGGTACTCAGTTGCTTTACTTCTCCCAGGCAAACGTAGTCATCTCAACACCTAGGGATATAGCAGGGAAGCAGATGGTGGGTGGATTCCTCCCTTTAAGCCAAAATGAACCGGGAGAATGGGATTGTCATGGGAAGCAATGTGCAAACTCTTACCCGTTGTGTGTGAGTCATCAGCTCCTCAGGGTCGTGCTGCTCTTCAGTTCAGAAAAGTGCCTGGATTCCATCTTAGATGATTTCATTTTGTTTCTAGAGAACTCAGGCACTGAGGAAGTCGAGCCATGACTGCTTATTTCAAACAATGTCTAAAGGTTTGGCAACTGGGACGAGGTGAACTCATTCAGCTTAAAGAAAGGCATTTAAGGATCACTAACGTCTTGATTTCCATGCTTGTAAGAATTGTAGTAACAGCATCAGTGAGACAGCTAAGCAAGCGCCTGGTGCTTGCTTAATACTAGAACAAGGCCGTGTTTAATTCCTGTCAATAATAGAGTGAGAAGTTGGAATGGTTAATGTCAGATACGTGCAGTTTATAAGAAGCAATTTTCCCAAGGTCCCCAGCTACTGTGGAGCAGAGCTGCCATGACACCCAAGACTGAACTAAAAGAACTATGTTGTCAGGGACTCTACCTATCTATCCATCCATGCTAAGACTTGTTTAAACATCATTAATGCAAGAGTTTCTAGTTAACATTTTTCCTCCCTGTTTGCACATGAAATACTGACACAATTTGCAATCCATGACATCTCAGAGTTTACCCAGAATGGGTTATGTGTATAAGGGAGCGGATAGCTACATTTAGAAGCTGTTTTATTTGCTTGTTTGTTTAGACTGAGTCTATATAGCACAGGCTTGATTGACCTCCTCATTGTCCTACCTCTGCTTTCTGAGTGCTGGGATTATGATAATCATGCATTACCAACCCTAGCTCTTAGAGACTGATGTAAATGGGTCTCGTCTTAGTTACTTTTCTATTACTGTGATATATAGACACCATGACCAAGGCAACTTCTAAAAGAGTTTATTTGGGGGGTTTTGAAGAATTAGGGTCCATGGCCATCATGACAGGGAGCATGGCATCAGGTAAGCATGATGCTGCAGCAGTAACTGAGAGTTCACATATTAATCCATAACTAGAAGGCAGAGACAGCACATTGAAATTGATACAAGTCTTTTGAAAACTCAAAACCTAACCCAGTGACACAACCTCCTTCAACAAGGCCACGCCTCCTAATCCTTCCCAAACAGTTCCACCAACTGGGCACCAAGTATTCAAATACATGAGCCTTGGGGGACCATTCTCATTCAAATCACCCCAGCAAGCACCAAGCAAATACCTTTGAGTGACCCAGCCCATTCCTTTATAATAAGGGCAGAAAAGATTAATGGTTTTTTTTTTTTTTTTCTGAAGCAAGATTTCTCTGTATTACTTAGATGCTTTTCAAAATGAGGACAGTCGACCTTCTAGAGGCAGCAGAGTTTTGAGGCCACTTTAAGCAAAGCATTTTTATTTTGAAGATAGTCTGTTGAAAGCATTGGTAAGCTGCCTTTCCACCCCCTATGTGGCCGTTATATTAAGCATTCTCCCACAAAGTCAGAATTTCATTCAGTTCTGTTTATGATTTCCTTAAAGTGAGTGTCTCCCAGACTTTGAAAATGCCCCCAAAGACTCCTGAGAATATGAGGTTACATACTTGAAATTCTCCTGGGAAAGGTGGAGAGGTCA